GTTAATAAAATGGGATTAGATACATTTGTGTTATTTAACATATTTAATTATTGCAGGTTTGCGTCATATTCTGAGTTTGCATTTCACTGTTTTAATTCATTTTGATGAATACTAAATCTGTTTTTTGTGAGTGGGATGAATTAATGCACATTCACATTTAGTCTAGAACTACGTCATGTTCACACAGCGCACACAACGCCTCTGCACTTCCGATTTCTCTCAACATGGGGACAGGAGAGCTGTCAGTCAATAAATGGGAGAACAAAGTAACTGGCGTTACTTATTTGAAAAAGTAACTCCGATATTTTCTTGTAAATTAAAAAAGTAATGCGTTACTTTACTAGTTACTTGAAAAAAGTAATCTGATTACGTAACTCGTGTTACTTGTAATGCGTTACCACCAACACTGATTGTGAAACATTAAAGAGAATGTGTGTGTGCACAGAGCTGAGTAGTAACTGATTACATGTAATCTGGATTGCGCAATCAGATTCCAAAAATTAAGTACGTGTATACTAATTAGATTAAATTACATTTTAAAATACTCGTAATCAGACTACAGTTACTTTTTATTGATTACATGATTGAATATTATTCACACAATAGCAATAAATTATTCATAGCTACAGATTCAATCAAATAAATTATTTTAATAATTAAGTTATAATTAAATCACATTTGCATGTTCACGGTAGGGTTGTGACGGTGAGGACATTTTCCCACCAGTTAATCGACGTGTGACAACACCGGTAATACCGGTATAACCGGGGCGGGGCGTTCCCTCTTTTCCCTCGCATTCAAATAGCTTGTAATTTTACATTCACTTTCAAATAGCTGCAATTCGGAGTAAAGGAGTTGTTCGTTTTTAGTTCATTTGAATTTTCCCTCTTTTCCTCCGCTTTTAAATAGCTTAATTTCGAATTAGCAGCAGTTCGGCGTCAATTGCTTGAATGCAACAACAGAATAAACCGTCAAACTCACTTTAGCCTATATATAAAACATAGAACTTTTATTAACAAAACAAATAAAAATACACTATGCTATAGGGCAGGTTATGCCTAATTTAAAATAACTTGCATAAAGTTTAAATAGGTGTACAAAACTGGAAATAAGTAAACATGTATAATATATAACCAAATAAATAAGAAAGTAGAAAGTTTATTAGCAAAACGAGTAAGAAAGCTTGGAGGCACGGCATACACCTTGATGTCAAATAAAATAAATAAATGACACAAAGTTTAAATAAAGTAAAAATCAGCGGTTGGCAAGTGACGTAACCGGTGTTGCGGCTTAACACCGGTATCACCGTCAGCACCGTCTATCGCGGCAAGCCTAGTTCACAGTTCTCTGACGTTATTTTTGTAGTAAGTGTTTTATTTTGATGTTTTAAAATGACTTATTTTAATTTGACCTTTTAATGATTTTATTTATTATTAGCTTTTCATTAAACTCATGAACCCTCAGCAGTTAATTAATATAACCTCAGTTTGGGAAACCTTGGCATAATGTAATGAATATATGTTCTTACGCTTTGTATTTTTATATCAATATGGCACAAGATTATCCTATTTAAATCTATTTGATTAACGAGTTAGGTCAAAAGTAATCAAAAAGTAGTCTGATTACATTACTAACATTAAAATCAGTGTCCAATGTAAAAAAAAATATATAGTGCTACAACTGAAAGTATTTAGCTAAAGCAGGAACAAAAAAAATCAGATTCTCCAAAGCAGTTTCAGAGGGCTGAAATTATTGTCTGAAATGGTGATGTTTAATTAGAGCTTCTCAGATGAAGTGTTTTGACTGTGAATAATCATGGCCAAAAGTTTTGGCAGTGGCATACATTTTTGCAAAATGTTTTGCTAAGTTTGCTGCTTCAGTATTTTGTAGATTATTTTTCCACATGTTTACTGAAAAACAATGATAAAATTTCAATGCAATGATCTTCGAGCCACTTCTTTATCACTCTTGCTTTGTGACATGGTGCTCCATCATGCTGGAAAATGCACGGATCATCACCAAATTGCTCATGGATCATTGGAAGAAGTCGCTCTTGCAGGACGTTTTGATACCATTCTTTATTCATGGAAGTGTTTTTGGGCAGAATTATGAGAGAGCGCACTCCCTTGGTTGAAAAGCAACTCCACACATGGATGGTCTCAGGATGCTTTGCTGTTGGCACAACACTTACTGAAAAACAATGATAAGCATATCATAAGTTTTAAAGGCTTTTATTGGCAAACAAATATAAGTCAATATCAGTCTTGACCCTTGTTCTTCATAACCCCTGCAATTCGCTCTGGCATGCTGGATATTAGCTTCTGGGCCAAATCCTGACTGATGGCGATCCATTCTTGACTTATTAGTTGATCACAATTTGTGGACTTCTGCTTGTCCACTCGCCTTTTGAGGACTGACCACAGGTTCTCTATGGGATTGAGATCCGGGGAGTTGCCTGGCCACGGATCCAAAATTTCAATGCAATGATCTTCGAGCCACTTCTTTATCACTCTTGCTTTGTGACATGGTGCTCCATCATGCTGGAAAATGCACGGATCATCACCAAATTGCTCATGGATCATTGGAAGAAGTCGCTCTTGCAGGACGTTTTGATACCATTCTTTATTCATGGCAGTGTTTTTGGGCAGAATTATGAGAGAGCGCACTCCCTTGGTTGAAAAGCAACTCCACACATGGATGGTCTCAGGATGCTTTGCTGTTGGCACAACACAGGACTGAAGGTAGCTTTCACCTTTTCTTCTCCGAACAATCGATTTTCCAGTCGGAAGGGAGCTTCATCAGAGAAAATAACTTTGCA